AAATAGACTTGACCTGACCCTATTCTTTGCTGAAGACAGGCTGGGGTGACCAGACATCACCAGTGGTGATGGGGTGGGGAGAGGGACTCCATCAGATGTCAAGGATCTCCATGCAGGGTCTCCACCTGCAAGGTGTGCTGCATGTCCTGGACCTGGGCGCTGGAGGACACAGAAGCAATGTTGAACTTTAGAAGGCATGTAGAACAGTGTGGAAAGAGCAGGATTCTTGTTAAAACTGGATTTTATGGGGCGCCTGCGTGGCTCAACAGTTTAAGTGTCCCACTCTTTTTTTTATAATTTCTTAAAAAAATTTTTTTAATGTCTATTTATTTGTGTGTATGTGAGAGAGAGAGATACAGAATGCCAGCAGGGGAGGGGCAGAAAGAGGGAGACACAGAATCCAACGCAGGCTCTGGGCTCCGAGCTGTCAGCACAGAGCCCGATGCGGGACTTGAACCCACAAACCATGAGATCATGACCTGAGCTGAAGTCAGACGCTTAACCGACTGCGCCACCCAAGTGCCCCACGTGTCCAACTCTTGATCTCGGTTCAGGTCATGATCTCACAGTTTGTGAGATCGAGCCCCATGTCAGGCTCTGTGCTGACAGTGCAGAGCCTGCTTGGGATTCTCTCACTCCCTCTCTCTCTCTGACCCTCTTTCTTACTCTCTCTCTCTCAAAGTAAATAAGCATTAAAACAAAACAAAACTGGATTTTACAAGTAAGTTCACGGATAGGCCTGGGAGAAGTTTCAGGAGCCTATCATTTGGTTAAGTGAAGACTCTTTCTCAGCGTTTATTTATTCATTTACACACACATTCAGCAAATATTTACTGAGAGTCTACCATTCCAGACATAGGGACTAGACTGAATCAGCTTGTACCCATACAGCCTATATTCAGAGAAGGGTGTTTAGCAGGATGAGGAAGGCAGAAAAGACAGAAGAAGTTAATATCCAAGTAAATAAATAATAATAAAGTCATAGTACGAGTAAGCACTATGCCAAAAATCATAATATAGTCAATATTTACTTAAGCATTTACAATAAATCATAATCTATTATAACAACAGGAGCTATTTTAGACATAGGAAAATTTGGTAGAATTTTCCAGTGAGAGCCTCTGGGCCTCCAGCTCCAAGAGAGGCTGAGGAATTAGTTATTTAGCAAGACAAAATGCCACAGATATTTAAGAGACAGTATGAAATTTAAACTGCTTAAGAAAATAGACAACACATCCTGACTTATTTTATAAGGCCAGAATTACCTTGACAAGAGAAGGGAATTAGAAGGGGAAATGGCTGACCAATATCCCTCATGACCACGCATATCCTGAGCAAAATATTAGCGTGCTGCATTCAACAATATGTACAAAAGATAACAGGTCCAGATCAGATGGGGTTTGTCCTATGCAGTAGCCTGGTGGCGTCCCGTGGCCTGGTGAGGCCGGTGACAGCCGAGGGAGCTCTGGCCCCTGGAGCCGGGACCGGAAGGGACCTCACACCCTAGCAGATGGGAGCCTGAGGGAGGAAAAAGAGGAAGAAAGGAGGGGAAAGCCTGACCTGGTACAAAGCTAAACATGCCAGAAAGATGGGCCCCTATTCTGCCTGTCCCAGGCCTGTATTGATGGTTTCACTGAAGAGGAAGTTGTGTGCTTGCTCAGAACAAAGTAAGGGCAAGTTCATTTCTTTAAATGACTGCTCAGGGTACCTCACACACCTGTTTTAAAACCATCCTCATGATCTGGGGCACCTGGGCGGATCAGTCGGTTAAGCGTCTGGCTTCGGCTCAGGTCATGATCTCACGGTTCATGAGTTTGAGCCCTGAACTCACAGAGTTAGGCTCTGTGCTGATAGCTGAGAGCCTGGAGCCTGCTTTGGATTCTGTGTCTCCCTCTCTCTCTGCTCCCCCTCCACTCATGCTCTTTCTCTCTCTCTCTCTCAAAAATAAATAAAACATTAAACAAACGAAAAAAATACCATTATCATGATCAAGATAAAAAAAATAGAAAAATTCTATAAGAAAAACCCCTCAAAGAGCTTGTATTTTCCTTTACTGCAGGATATTGTAAAACCTGGATAAATGTGACATTTGAATCGATGGTGCCAGACTTTCATGTCTGTCCCAAATCTGTGTTAAACTGGAAAGTTATAAAGGACTTTCAGATACATGATATCCTTTGTCACCAAACCCACCAGGCCTCTTTTAGTTTCAAACCCTTGCCCTCTCCTTCTACCTAAAAGGTAACAAGGGCCACCCACCAGACTCCCAGCATGGAGGGTCTTCACCTTCAAGTCCTGTACCTGACACAGGATTAAAGCTGAACTTTGCAGAGTGTGGAGGATGGATCAGCCTGATCCTGGGCAGGGGGAGCACATGTGTATGTTTGGGGGGCTGCGAGTGGTAGCAGGGGTTGGGAAACAAGAAACTCAGATCTGCTCAACTCAGACACGTGACCCTGAGCATTCTCCTCAAGGGCTAGAAACCTCTATAGGAGCAGAGGGCTGCAGGCAGGAAAACCCAGGGGAAGAGCACGCAGGGAAAGGCTGCAGAAGTTTGCCGGAGCTATTGACTCCATGGCCTTGATGGGACAGAAGGTGCAATACTCTTGTTTTACAGCCAGGGAAACCGAGTCCCAGGGTCCCTGCAGCCATGCTAGAAGGGAGGGCCAGGCAGGTGGAGCTACCTTTCCTTACCTCTCCTGGGACTGTTGTGGTCTGAGCTTCTCCTAGTTTCTTCTCACGTCCTGAATCTTGGATTTGGAGGAAGAAGGCAGGTTCTCTCTAGATGGTCAACGGAGTGAGAACTTGGGGTGCCCTTTCCTTTACCAGGGCCACTGATGGCGCCATTCGCTGACAGTGAACCCTAGTCCCACACTTCCTGGCCACCTCCCAGAGCCCAGTTCCCACACAGCCCTGTGGCCCAGGCCCTGGGAGAGAGAGCTGCACTTCTGAAGAGGCGACCTTTCTCAGGATCGGGGACCAGAGACTGACTGGGGGCCCTGTGTCTGGACCTCCTTGTCACACAGCAAAGAGCAGGTTAGAAGGGCTGAGGGCCACAGGGAAGGCAGTGTAAGAGGAAGGTGACCTTGGGACAGTGGAGGGAGAGGGAAAGGGAAGACTCCAGGAGAATGTCATACGCGGTGGCGCGCTCTCAGGCCAGCAGGGGGCAGGGCAACCTGTCCGTCTTCATCAAGCTCTCCTGCCACCTCTGTGGCACTGCTGGACAGCCCACCTCCCGCTGTGCTCCCTGTCTTTCGGGGAGGAGGAGTGAGGCGGAAAGGGGTGGAGAGGCATTGGTTCACCTTAAGGGAACCACCAAGATGCCTCCTGGCTCAGTTTCCCTACGGTGAAAGTGGGTAGTGACTGCTTCCCACGGATTTTGTGGAAATTAAATTAGACCCGTGGTTCCCAGACTTGTCTGCACACTGAGATCACGTGAGGAGCGTCACCAGCACTGATGCCTGGCCCTTCCCCACTGGTCTAGGTTCTTTGGTCTGGTGGTGGCTTTGGCCTTGACAGTTTTTTCACCAGACCCAGGTGATTCTTAGGTGCAGACAAGTTTGGGGATTCCAGAGTTAAATCCTCTCGCGACTGGGCTTTGTAAACTATAGTTGCAAATCTGGTTTTGCTCTTTTTCCTCAAGTCCCTTTTCCCCTTAGTTTGATTCCATAAAGTTGAAATCCTATCCCGGCTAACGTCTCAAAATGGAAAACGCAGATTTCCCTCACCGTCTGCACTCCAGCGACTCAGACGTTCCCTCCTAGCACCTGAGCACAGTTTGTCCAAAGTGCATTGACTAAAAACTCTGAGCTGACAAGCCTCCTGCACCAAGGGAGAAAGTCAAGGTGCTATGGGTCCGGGGGGAGTCGATGGTTCGCTCCCGGGGTATCTCCACTGCTCCCCGACTGGGACCTGGGTCAGAGGAGGAAGGTTCAGGCTCCTGGGGGAGCACCCAGCCCGGGTCCAACTTAGATAAAATCCTTAGTAGCTCCGGCCCGTTGCTTCATGTTTGTTTCTACCCTCGCAGTCACTGTTCATGACGGTGTAGGGGTAGAAGGGAACGCACTTTGTGTCCAATATCATGTGGGGTCCTTATGATCCTCATACGAACCTGCTCACCCAAGAGACCACTGAACGTGGCATCATGTGGGATTTGGCATTTGGGCGTTTAATATGGTGCCGTCGTTCTTGGAGCTGACCTTCCGGGTGTGTGAGGGGGTGCAGTGACAGCCGGGGAATTGCCTTGGGGTTGGACCACCTGGGGGCCTTTTACTATGGTTCCCAGTTGTTGTGATGGATGCAGGCTCATAGTGTACATCTCCGGGGCTGTGAAGAGTCTATCTAGGGAATGGGACCCAGCCACACTCCGAGCATGAGCCCGGAGGGCCCTCCAGCCCCCGCACCACACTGCCACCCTGTCCCGCCATCCCACAGTGCACTGCGCACCGCTCCTCGCCCCCAGCCTCCCTGTCGCCCTCGCCCTGTCCCCCTGGAGCCACCTCCTCCCCCTGCCCCTGACCCGAGGCCAGCAGCAGGTGTGCCTGTGTCGTTTCAACCCTGCGCCCTCCAGGCCAGGCAGGGGCTCTCTGCTCTTCCTGGGAAGCACAGGTACTTAATTAAGGATCCAAATTAAGGTGCGGCCTCTAAAGTCCCTACCTGCCTTCAGTCAGTTTTTCCTGGCGTGTCGCGGTGGGTGGATAAAGCCAGGTGTTTGAAAGGATGAAGGGGACGGAATGGAGATGGTAAGAAGTGGGATGGTCTTTTATTTACCTAGCGTCCAGGCAAGTGCTGAGTGGGGTGTGGGGTGGGCAGGGGGATCCAAGAACAGCCACAGTGCCTGGGCCATCGGGCTGAGCGAGGCTGAAGCAGGGACCCTCCCCCAACAGCGGCTGGAGTTTCCCCCAGGAAGCCCCCACCTTCTCACCGCCCACGGAACCCGCCCTGCAGGCCTCACACTTACCCAATCAAGACCTTTCCTTTCTCAATCTTGTGCTCTCGATGTGCTGGGACATCTGGGCACTGTCAGGCCTGGCTCCCGGGTCTCTCTGGACTCTAGGCCATCCTCTAGCCACCCCGCAGCCCCCCCCCCCCATACACCCTAGCACCGGGAGAGGGTGAGATGACCTGCCAGGCCCTACCCCTGCTGCTGGTGGTGCTGCTGCTGGCCTCAGGTAAGGGGCAGGGGGAGGAGGTGGCTCCAGGGGGACAGGGCGAGGGCGACAGGGAGGCTGGGGGCGAGGAGCGGTGCGCAGTGCACTGTGGGATGGCGGGACAGGGTGGCAGTGTGGTGCGGGGGCTGGAGGGCCCTCCGGGCCCATTCCTTAGCCTCACCTGAGGACTTGTTTCCTAGGCTCCTGGGCACAAAGCCAGAGGGATGAGTTGGTGTGGGCCATAGAGGAACAGGTACTGTCTGTGAAGTGCCCTTCCGCCCCTCTGCTAGGTGAAGATCAGAACAAAACCTGGTGTAAGGAAACGAAACCGGGTTATTGCTCGAAGTTAGTCACCCCCACCAGTCCCCAGGTAATGGCCCAAAGCCCTCCACACTTCATCTGGGACAACCCTGCTGCTGGCTTCTTCATTGTCATCGTAACAGAGATCACGAAGAAGAGTTCAGGAGCCTACCGGTGTGGAATAGACAGAGGTTCTGCGGGAGGCATCATTGTTCTCAAAAACATCAGCCTGGTGGTGACTGCGAGTGAGCTCTTTGCAGAGAGGGAAGGGGCCTTCCTGGGGCGTCTGGGGGAAATGAAGCCACTCACCTCCTTCCCTAGCTTCCCTCACCAGATCCTACCACCTCCCTGCCCCTCTCACACTGACTATGGGCAGTTAGGTCCCCAGTCCCCATATTCAGGCCATTGCCTCCATCCTTGGGTGTCCTGTCCCAGCAGGTATAAGCTAATTTGGGGCCCACTGGGCATAGAGCCCCTGTCCACATGATGGCTCAGACCCAACCTCAGATGCCAGCCCCTCAAGCTGGCCACCCCGTGTAGGCACAGGGTACCTGTGTGGGGTCCTAGGTCCTGTGGCCTAGGTCTCTCCCAGGCTGGACACGGTGTTTGTTCAGGACCTGGGCTCAGACCAGAAGTATCTTGAGACTCTGATGGTGAAAGGGCCATGCCTTTGGGACAAGTGGCTTGTGCCTTCTCCACAGGAGGGCCCCTGACTCTCCCTGCTCTTGGGGACCCAGTATTAGGCTTCTCTCTCAGTCCAGGCCCCCACCTCCCCACCGCTTGTCTCTTTCTACCAGCTCTGAGAAGTTCTGGCCTGAGGGACCCTGGGGGCTGGCTCTGGTCCCTCCCCCTCTTCCTCGCAGGCTTTGGGGGGTGACCCTTCTCCCTCTGGGGGCTCTAAACTGCCACTGCCTCATCCGTTGTCATCAATCACGCTTGCTTTTCTAGTGACAAGCAGTTCAACCTTCAACAGTGGCTCTGAGGACTGGTAGGTCTGGGGTCCCACCTGAAGGGAGGGGGCTGGGAAGCTGGTGATTTGCACGGGCTGTGATTCAGGAGACCAGGGGGACCTAGAAGTCTGCAAGGGGCCCCAAGGTCTCAGCTCAGAGCTGAGCTAGGTTGGCAAGGGTGAAGGAGCAACTCTAAACTTCCCCCATGATGGAGCAGAAATAGCTACCTACCAGAATGCAACATCTCCTATTAGTGCTGAATCACAGGCAGGAGGGATGGGGCCTATCCAGAGTCACTCAGCTACTTCGGGGCCAGAGCAGAACTAAGATCCAGGCCTTCTGTCTCCTGGTCCAGTGCTCCTTTGGGGCTTTGAGATTCTCCATGGGCACCTCTGGGTGCCTATTATAGATCTGGGTGCTCTCCCCCTCTGCTTTTCCTTCGGGACCCATGGCCTTCTCCCTATCCCGTTGGGTATGTGGCACACCCTGATAGTGTCACCCAGAGAAATGAGAACTTTGATCATTGCTTGGTTTCTCGCTAACGTCTCCCTCCACCCAAGGTTCCTGGGTTCTCAGGATTCTGTTCCAGGCAGTCCCTGTGGCTCACCCCAGTGGGTTCAGGGTGGGTCTGGTCCATCAACAGGCTGCAGCCCCATATGCTGATTCAGGGGCCACGCTCCCCAGCCTGGATCCTCCCCTCCTCCTTCTCCCTTCTCCCACAGCACACCTGACAACACTTTCATGGTGCTGTTGTGTGGACTCCTTGTGATCAAGATCCTGGCTTTGACAGCCCTCCTCTTGTTTCTGACCTACAGAGCCCAGGTGAGTGGGGCCAGTGGGGCAGGGGAAGCTTCTCTCCTGGGAGAGAGGCGCTACAGGACAGGAGTCACCAGGAGTCACACAGGTGGCATTGCATCAATTGTAACTTATGCCAGTTTTAAATTTTCTTTAGCCTCATCTGTCTCTGCGCACTCATTTGGTTGTTATAAGCCACCATCTTCTTTGACATTCAAACTCACAGCCTTGGGGTTGTGTCTACCCACAGCAGCTGGGTTGCCCAGTTTTGAGGCTGGTCTCAGGCATCTTCCCCTAACCACACTGATGTATCACACACATACATGCACACACACACACACAGATATTCATCCCTTCCATCAGAGACCAGATCTCCACACCCCAAAGTCCCTTCTAAGGGTCCCCTCAACCTCTCAACCTTTGAGCCCTTAGCTCACTCTAGAGCTCCCACCCCAGGACTTTGTATCATTCTGTCCTGAAAGGGAAAGTGTGGGCAGGGAGAAGAAGATGAGGGCCTGGTGACAAGGGGAGACGTCAGCAATGGACAAGGGATGGAGCCGGAAGCACGGCAGATGAAGGAGACATGGAATAGACAGTGAATATGTTTCTGAACGCCCCTTCCCTGCTTCTCAGGTCTCCACCGGCATTGTGGGAATAGCAGTAGTGGCTGCCCCTAGCCCCACTAAGACCCCAGGGCCCTTGAGAACTCCCCACTGAGACTACAGTCTCCCCACCTCCTTTTGATCCTCCACGACCACTGAAACCTGGGGCCTCCGAGAAAAAGCCTTTCCTGTGCTTCCGGAAGACACCTCCCAGCACCTGAATGTACCACTGTAGAATCTACCACCTCTCACCCCAGAGCTGAGGACCCCCACATTGCCTTCTCCAACGCCACGTCCACAAAGCGGGAACCCACCACCTGTGAGACCCTCCCTATGCATCCAGTGGACCAAACCCAAATGGTAAGCACCCTCCCCCTAACCTGTGCCTCGCCCTCCTCTCCTGGGTTACCTGTTTCTCTGCCAGCTCGTGATTCAGCTGGTCACTGAATGCCCACTGCAGTTAGCTTTGGTTCCTGTTTCTCCCCATATGGGAAATAACCTTCGTTCATACCATATACAAATATAATATTTACTATTTCCAAAAATGACACAAATTTTAAAAGTGTATGACCATGAATGAAAGACATTTCCATCTTATATGTTGGATAAAAGGGTCAATAGCAAACATCTTCTTTCTCTTAAATAAATAAAAATCATGCAAACGTTTCCATTTGAAAAAGGGCCAAGGCTGTGAACAATTCATTCATTACAGACTAAGGAACAAATATGTATGAACGTGTGTCCAAAATGGTTGATAATCAAAGAAATGAGAAATGAAGTCAGACCCCATGCTTTGCCTATGAGTTCAAAGATTAAAATAAATGATAATCACATTCCGGGCTGGAAATGTGTAGGGAAAAGGGAGTTCTCATGAATTGTTGGAAGAACATAATTGATAGCCTCTCTCTGGAGGGGCAGTATGGTGATGAATTAAAAGGCAGAACAAGTAATTTATTTATCCATTCCCCTGTTGATGGACATTTGGGTTCTTTCAGTTTTGGGGCTGTTGTGAATAAAGCTGCTATGAACATTCAAACAAAGAAAAAAAAAAGTCAGAAAAAGGAAAACAAATGAAAGAGGCACCTGGCTGGTGAAGAAACAGTTTTAAACATTTTTCTAAGTAATTTGACATGTGTCATGATTGCTGTTGTTTAAGAAGAAAAACAATGGTATGTCCCATAGATGCCGATTTTAAAAAGTATGCCAACTATTCTTGAGTAGAAAAAGTAAATAAAAAAATTGAAAGACAAATAATTGTACAAGACTCGAAAATCCAAAGCAGTCTCACTGTACCCCTCTGCGCCCAGCGCCCATTCCTTTGAAGAACGTCTTCTATCTGTTTTTTCTGATATTTACCTCTCTCCTTGTGGAAGAGAAGAAACAAAGCTTATACTGTCATCTATTTATTTTCCAGGTTTTAATATTATCTACTACTAATCTATTTATTTTGAGAGAGATGGGGGAGGGGAGTGCATGCATTGGGAGGAGCAGAGAGAGGAGAGAGAGAATCCCAAGCATGCTCTGCACTGTCAGCACAGAGCCCGACGTGGGGCTTCAACCCAGGAATGGTGAGACCATGACCTGAGCTGAAGTTGGACACTCAACCAACTGAGCCTCTCAGGTGCCCCTTGAGTGTAATTTTTGATTTTACCCCAACGTGCCTTGTTTTCATTTGTTTTATTTTCTGTATATTCGCCATGAATTCATTTTTAAACTCTTTACCGAAAGTGTAAAATTCATCTCGGAGTTTCAAACACATAAAGCCATCCATTGGATCGTTCCCTTGAGATGCCCCTGATGGGCCAGGCATCCTCCTGCTGCACTGGCTTCCCTGTAAGCCCGATGTACAACCTTGTGCGATTTCTCCTCGCCATCTTCTTGGGCACGCCCTTGGCTTCCACCTGATGCTGGACGTGCTCTCTCCTGAATTTCCTATCTTTCTCTTTCAGAGTTTGTCCTTTTAATTGGAACATTCCTTCCAACATCTTCCTTTACTTTTCAGAAGCCTGATGCCGTTTATACTTCCAATCCACTGAGGATGAGTTTTGGGTTTTTTCTCTTGCTCTTGGGGGCTTTTACGATCGTCTCCATCCCCCAATCTTCCCCAGTGCTTTGAAATTCCATGCTGATGTGTATTGATGTGGGGTTTTTTTTGTTTTGTTTTGTTTTTTTTGCCGTTTATTGTGCTGGGTGCCCAGTGGGCCTCCTCAGTCTGGAAAATCATATCCTTAATTCTGAGACGTATTTTCTTTATTTCTTTTATAACCCTTCTTCCATTTTATGTTTTTTGTCTCTTTCTATGAATTTTCTATTATACAAACATTAGGCTTTATGGACATAGCCTCCAAGCCTCTCATTTTTTCCTTTTCCTTTTCATGTTTTGTTTACGATTTTATTGAAGTTTACATTTATAATTACAATTCTACATACAGTGAAACACACAGATCTGAAATGTATAATTTGATGAGTTTTGGCAAATGCACAGAACCCACTTCCATCTCAATATATAGAACAGATTCATCATCGCTTCACTGCCAGAGCCAATCACTACTCTGATTTCTTCCACATAGATTACCTTTGACTCTTCTAGAACTTCTTAGAAGTGCAATAATAGAGAACGTGCTCTTTTGTGTAGCATTTGCACGCACTACAGTGTTTCTGAGGTTCATCTCTGTTGCTGCATGCATTTATTCCTTTCTGTTCCTAAGTCATATTCCACTGTATACCTCATTTGTTTATCCCTTTAGCTGTTGATATGTGAGTGACTTGACTGTGATGAATCACGCTGCTATGATCATTTTCGAATAAGTCTTTGTATGGGCATACATTTTAACATTTTCCCATGGCTGCCAGAATGAAATGCCACAGACTGGGTGGCTTACACGACAAAAATTTACTTTCTCACAGTTCTGGAAGCTGGGAGTCTGAGGTCAAGGTGTGAACAGGACTGGTATCTTGAAGACTCTCTCCTTGGTTTGTAGATGGTGGTCTTCTCCCTGTGTCTTCATGTAGTTGTTCCTTTGTACTTACCTATGTCTTCCTCTCTTCTCATAAGGACACCAGTTTGTTAGATTTTGGTCCACCCTAATTTACTGACCTCACCTTAACTTACTTAACTCTTTAAATACCCTAACTCCATATACAGTTACACTCTGAAGCACAAGGGTTGGAACTTAAACATATGAATCTGTGGGGATTCAGTTCAGCTCATAACATGCATTTTCCCTTCTTTCGGTTAAATACATAGACATGGAATTCCTGGGTTATAGAGTAAGAGTATGTTTAACTTTATGAGAAACTGCTAGGTAGGCAAATTTCCAAGTAATTGTACTATTTTTACACTTTCTCACCACCCCCCCAAATGAACAATGTATGATAGTTTCTGGTTCCTTGACATCCTTGCCAACTTTTGGTATTGACAGACTTTTTAATTTTGGCTATTCTAGTAGATGCATAGAGAAATCTCACTGCAGTTTGACTTTGCATTTCCCTGATGAGTAATGATGATGAGCATTTTTCCTGTGCTTACCAGCCACTACCATAGCCTCTCTTAGGAAGTTCCTGTTCCAGTTTTTGCCCATTTTTTATTGGATCACTTTTCTTTCTAGTATCGGCTTCTAAGAATCCTTTAGATATTCTGGATATAAATCTTTTTTCAATCTTTGAATTGCACGTATTTTATCTTGGTCTGTGGCTGGCCCATTCATTCAATGTCTCCAGAGAAACAAACAACTTAAATTTTGACAAAGTCTAATTTCTTGCTTTAATGTTTTCTAAGTCCTGACTAAGAATCTTTGACAGTCCCAAATGTTATAACAGCATTTTTTGATGTTTTTCTTCCAGAAGCTTTATAGCTTTAGCTTTTATGTTTAGATTTAAAATCAATGTCTAGTTAATTTTTGTGTATTGATGTTCATTTATTTATAATTTTCCTCCTCCATTGAGTTACTTTGACTCCTTTATAAAGATCAATTAAATATATAAAATAGATCTGTTTCTGAAATTTCAATTCTGTTCCATACATCTACTTATCTTTTAGTTAATGCGACACTCTTTAAATACTATTGCTTTATAGTAAGTCTTAGAATCTGCTAGTACAAGTCCTCCCAGTTCTTTTTCCACTGCTTCTTCTTGGTTATTCTAAATCCTTTGCTTTTCCATAAAAATTTTAGAAGCATCTTATCAATTTCTACAAGAAAATTCTTTATGAGGCATTATGTTGAACTTTTAGAACGATAGGCACCTTAACAGTACTGAGTCTTCCAATCCATGAATATAGTGCATCTCTTCATTTATTTGGTTTCTTGGGTTGGAAGTTCGTATTTCTCATATTTTCTCTCTTAATTTTCACCTCTTTTTGTTTTATTCTGCCCCAAACATTTTGCCAGTGTTGTCTTCCAATTATTCTACTGAATTTTTCTTATTTTTATTATATGTTTAATTGCAAAAGGTAGTATTTTTATTCTCAGAGGAGACTCTTTTCTAGTATTCTGTCCTAGTTTTGTGGACGTCTCCTCTTTTCTTTCTAAATATATGATATGGAAGGCTTTTAAATTGCTTAATTCAGGCCCCTGCATTATCTATTTTCCCCGTGTTCCTTTATATATGTTAAAAATGTTGTGCTATATATTAAAGGCTTTCTTAATATGCATTATTACACATATTTATTATTATTTGTATTTTGATGTATATTTACAAATTTTTAAAGATGAAAAGTTAGAGAAGAAAAACTGCAGCATAAAAGTGATAGGGAATTCTTTGCGTGTGTGGTTTGCTGAATGTTGGAGCAGAGTTTCTCAGCTTTGGCACTATAGACATTTTGGGCCAGATAATTCTTTGTTCAGGAGGCTCTCCTATGCATTGTAGATGTTTAGCAGCATCCCTGGCTTCTACCCACTAGATGCAAGTAGCACCCACCCCCTCAGTTATGACAACAAAACGCTTCTCTGAACGTAGACAAATTTCCCATCAGAGCTCAAATCACCCCCGGTTGGGAACCACTGATCTAGATTAATCAGGCTAAACCCCTTTTCTTTTTGAAGAACTCCTCACTCTCTGTATCTGTAGTACTTTTCTCATAAACTGGTTGTTTCCCTTTAGAAATGAATCCCTCCAACATTCCTATGTGGGGCCAGGAGAGTGTGTGAGCCCTAGCTGCCAATATTCTTTTTTTTTTTTTAATGTTTTTATTTATTTCTGAGAGAAAGAGACACAGCATGAGCAGGGGAGGGCCAGAGAGAGAGGGAGACACAGAATCTGAAGCAGGCTCCAGGCTCTGAGCTAGTTGTCAGCACAGAGCCTGATTGGGGCTCGAACCCACGAACCGTGAGGTCATGACCTGAGCTGAAGTCAGACGCTTAACGACTGAGCCACCCAGGCTCCCCTAGCTGTCAATATTCTTGAATCACAGTTACTGCTATGGTTAAGTCATCATGATATAAATTCAGATATTCTTTGACTTGACTTATGGTGGGATTATGCTTCTATAAACACATTGTAAGTAAAAAATGAATTTAATACACCTGATCTACAGAACATCATAGATTAGCTTAGCCTGAGTAAAATTGCTCAGAACACTAACACTAGCTTATACTTGGGCAGAATCACCTAAGATGTTGTAGAAGAAATTTGAAGGGAAACAAACAAACCATGTGTGCTGATGAAAAGAAAAAAAAATCAATGAAAGGAGATCTGTATCTTATAGTTAGGATGGGCTCTTTTATGCTGGAGCAAAAACCAACCCCTAACTTCAATGGCTTCGCAGAACCAAAGATTATTTCTCTCCTGTGCAATGTCTCCTGAAGGTCCAGGCACACTGTCACGGTATTCTCCTCCACAGTTAGCTCTGTGTTTCAGGCTGCTCCAATCTCACCATCCCGCCAAATCAACAAGTGCTTCGACAGCAGGAAAAACTGCCAGAAAGATCAGCAATTCAGCGTTCCCATCCGGAAGTGACAATTCATCTACATT